AATAAATGTTCAATAATTCATTTCATTTTGCCCCGACCCCCAACATAAACAAATCTTCTATGTGGGTATGCCTTGAACCATAATGCATGGCCCTACAGAGGAATTTTTTCTTTTTGGGACTAGGGAAAAATGCAATGAATTATTGAAAATGTACCCTAGCGCCCGATGCGTACAGTCATGATTCATTGGCTAAGCAATGGCCTCGTTACTGTGAGCCCCCAGAATAAAAACCATGTCGATGTGCTATATAAGTGCCCTTTTATGAGGCATTAGTCCCCATTGCTGTCAGTTATGACTTAAGGACGTAGGTCCCCTAGTTGATTAGCATAGTAGCACACACATGCTTTAGCAGTCACGCAAAACAAATATTCCCCAATTGTCATTCAATAAAATCTGAGAATGTATACTATTTTCTAGATCTATTAGGAATAAATCATTGTCAAAACTATTCTACAAATTGGGGTAAAAATAATTATTCCACCATCATGACCAACATTGTAGATACCTTCTACATAAATCCACTTGGTTGGCTTATCTATTGATTGGGCGATTCATTGATTGATTAAATAATTGACTGATTGATTGACTAAATGATTGAATGATTGATTGAGTGATTGATTAAAACAGGTATTGGGTGATACGGAGCTCAGTCATTAGAGTGACTCTGTAATATTGTTGAAGGTTGATGGAAAAAAAAGGTTATTTTTGTATGAAATGTGACTTATTATATTCCTTCTACTGTACTAACCCTCTGACATGCAAAAAATCCTTTCAAAATCCTCAAACCACAAAGATATTTATATTGTTGTCACTGTACCCTCTAGCAGTAAATTCTACCAACCATTCTTCAAATTTTCCCAACCGTTTTTCCATAAAAATAAGACATCAGACAGGCTTTAAATATCTGTCAACACTTAAATGTCTGGAATGGTATATATAGAGCTTATTCATTGCTATGTGACGATTTACATTCACCTAAAATGTAATTAAATTGTAATAATATAGTTGGGAGAATTAAGGAATCGATCAGATCAGTTATTTCTAATTTTTATCATAATGATAAAAATTGGAAATAACTGATCTGATCAATTCCTTAATTATGGTCTGTTTTCACTCAAACTTTCAGATTATCTTTAATTGTACATTTAGCATTGAAGTCAATACCCAAGACCAAAATCCAGTTGAAACCAATTGGAGTAAAACCAATTGAAACCAGTTGCCAACTGGTTTCAATACTGGTTCCAATTGAAACCAGGTGAAACCAATTGCCAACTGGTTCCAGGTGCCTAATTGGTTTCAACTGGAACCAGTTGTTCCAATTTCCCTATTGAAACCAGTTGGCTTCAATTGGTTTCAATTGGTTTCAACTGGTTTCAATCGGTTTCAACTGGTTTCAATTAGTTTCAATTGGATCCAATTGAAACTTACAGTGGACATAACCCTAATTAGTTATAAGTTAATTAGCTCTTGCACTAATTATCGCTCATGTCAACACAGAAGCATTGTTATATGTGTCTACATTAAGTACAATGTAAAGGGCATTATAATATGCAGACCATATAATATACTTAACAATGTGTGTGTGTGTATTTGGTTTTTACAGACGTGTATCAATCAGATATGATTATTTACGTCTGGGGACCGACCTTTAACGTCACCATCCGAAAGACGTGACTCAGTTTCGAACCTGCGTCCTCGGCTGAATCAGTTTGTAATTTCCACTGTAAGCTGGATTACAGGCGCACGCCACAATGCCTAGTTGGAAAGGAAACAAGGAAGGCATTGCCATTATATATGTTTGTATTTGATGTATTTTGTACATGGTTAGTGTTTTACTAATCAACTTTTAATCTGTGTAATTACAAAAATATGTAACTAATGAACATGCTTATCATTGCTAATTAATCTTTATATTTATCTAAAACAAATGCATTACTTGCAAATGTAAATTAATTAATAAGTACATTATAAATCAAAATAAATTACATAAAACATTGATCTGCACACAAGCAGATAATATGCAAATTAACTGGTTTCAATTGGATCCAGTTGGGTGACTGGAAATATTTCCAATTGGAACCAATTGTGTAACTGGAAATGAATTCTAACTGGAACCAGTTGGGTAACTGGAAATTACTTCTAACTGGAAATGAATGCTAACTGGAACCAGTTGGGTAACTGGAAATGAATGCTAACTGGAACCAGTTGGGTAACTGGAAATGACTTCTAACTGGAAATGAATGCTAACTGGAACCAGTTGGGTAACTGGAAATGACTTCTAACTGGAACCAGTTGGGTAACTGGAAATGACTTCTAACTGGAACCAGTTGGGTAACTGGAAATGACTTCTAACTGGAAATGGATGCTAACTGGAACCAGTTGGGTAACTGGAAATGAATTTTAACTGGAACCAGTTGGGTTACTGGAAATGAATTCTAACTGGAACCAGTTGGGTAACTGGAAATGACTTCTAACTGGAAATGAATGCTAACTGGAACCAGTTGGGTAACTGGAAATGACTTCCAACTGGAACCAATTGGGTAATTTGAAATGAATTCTAACTGGAACCAGTTGGGTAACCGAAAATGACTTCTAACTGGAAATGAATGCTAACTGGAACCAGTTGGGTAACTGAAAATAAATTCTAACTGGAACCAATTGAGTAACAGGAAAATCATCTTACTGTTTCCAGTTGAACTTCTAACTGGAACCAGTTGGGTAACTGGAAATGACTTCTAACTGGAACCAATTGAGTAACTGGAAAAATTACCTTACTGGTTCCAGTTGCACTTCTTATTGGTTTGAACTGGAAATGAGTACCCATAACAATATTTTCCAGTTCGGCAATTGGTTTCAACTGGAAATTTTATATTCCAATTGAAACCAATTGAAACCAATTGAAACCAGTTGAAACTGTAGCGGCTCTTACATTCGCCCTACTTACATTCGTCCTACTTTCACCGTACATTCATGTCTCCTGTATTTTTCCATCACGGTACTATATTCATTATTCGGACCACGTGTGTTCATTCCTCCAATCGAGCATCGTGGTTCCGCGCATCGTTCCCCCGCGTATTTTCAACTCCACGAGGTTTTTCTTCACTCCCGCTTTCACCTTGGTCGAGTCAAGACGTCTCCGTAATTTCCTCTCCACGCTGTATTCTTCTGTGCCTGTCGTCTATTCTACGGCACGTCAACTCTTTCTCTGCCGTGTTCATCGGGCTGCAGTCTCCCAGTGGAACGTTATAGTCAGGACCGACATGGCGCCTGACTCTCCGCTGGGAGCTGCCAGTTTCTTCGTTCCGGTAGCTCTTTCCACTCACGAGCTCATCATTTCACCGCAGCTCATCTAAACATTTCTTCATCAAAGTCCGGCGCATCAAACGAGCAACTATTACTACTCAGCACCAGTGCCGGCTTTGCATGTCTACGTTTCTACTCTTTGCCTCCGACATCAAGCGATTCACTGCTTCGTCGTCGAGCGCCACATCTCTTCTCTTCTCTTCTCTTCTCGCCTGAGAGCTTCTTCACTATCTTCATCACGGACGTCAGCGTCGAGATTCTTCACGGCTCTTCAGCCACGACTACGAAGCTTCATCTCCGCCTTCAAGCCTCCGCAGCATTCATCGCGTGAGCCCCTTCCTTCGTTTTCATCTCTCTTCATCTTCATTGGACTTTCGACGCCATTTCTATTCTGTCGTAAGCTTTCATTCATTATGTACATCGCATTTATTCATGTTCATTCTCATCCTTAATCATTATGTAATCTTCGTGCAATATTCACATTTTCAAGTCTGCTACTTTTGCTTGACTGCACTTTGCAAGTGCATTGTCAGCTTTGTTCAGTACCCAATAAATTAACGAAAAGGGAACACTTTCTTTCTTGTATTTTATTGTCAGTGCAACCTTGCTTCCTCGTAGCTAAAATAAAAATAAGAGTTATGTTGTGTGACGAGTGAACACGCACAATACCTCACACTCATATCTCTAAAAAACCAATTGAAACCAGTTGGAGATTTCAACTGGTTTCAATTGGATTTTGGTCCTGGGTACCTTAGCAACAATTTCTTTCATCTGAACAATGTTACCAAGTCCATTTAATGAAAAATATTTGATAAGAATAGAAAATTGTGGTAAATAAACTCTCAAGGTGACATTGTTTAAAAGGGTAAAACAGAGTAAAACAAAATATATTAAAATATGCAATATGATTAGCTGAGCTTTAATAAAGAAAAATTAGTCATGGCAGGTACTGTCTTTTAACCCTATTTAGCCCGGGGAGGGGGGGGGGCTTTAGAAGCCCCCCCCCCCCTCGACATTTTTCGCGATAATTTTTTAACGCAAGAAAATCTTGCACTGAAATTTTGTGACTTTTTTCTTTCGAGTCTTGCGCATCTTTTGAAAGAAATTTTTCGAAAATCGGACGTACCATTACAAAGTCACGTGTCCTTTTGTCTTTGCATGTCAGCCCAAAAATCGCTCATTTTTGTGATTTGTGTACAAAACATATGGAAATCTCATTTTTCAAATAAAGAGATAAAACATTGGTTATTTGGTCTTGTTTATAGTTTAGGTGTTTATTTTGGGTTTAAAATAGTTGAATTATAGTTGGAAATGAAATAAAACAACAAAAACAATAAAATACATTAGTTAAAAAAAACAAGGAAATACATAAGAAATTATCAAAACAATAGATAACATAAGGAATAATCCTGGTTTTTCAATTTTTTGTGTTGTATTATTATTCCAAATAGTCTAACAAATATATGTAGTGAGAAAGAATGCTTAAATATGAATAATGTCTGATTTATGGGCAAAAATGTGAATTTATGACCTTATTTGCATAAATTACCATAAATATGCAAATGAGTGAATTTTTCAAAAAATTGAAATTACCATAGTATTCTATACACTTCACTTGACATGGATGCAAATTTTCGCGGCGATCGGGCGTTTCACGGCCGAGATCATAGTGGGGGGGGGGGGCCTTAGAAGCCCCCCCCCCCCCCCGGGCTATGCAGTTTCAAAATAGCCCGGGCTAAATAGGGTTAAAATAAAATTGACCTATAATATGGCAAATCACTTGACCCTCTGATAACTACCAAAATATGTTGATTAGTGATTCTGGTTCTTCTGGAGTACTTCCGGAGTACCTTCTTATGAATTCCAAATCCTCTCCTGACACTCCTTGGGGGGCGTTTCACAAAGCCTTTTTTCAATGACAAAAATCAGTGACAAATCTGCTGATAACCAATCAGAAGCAAGGATTTCAGTAGCTTATAACACAAACTGTCATTTGTCGCTGATGACAAGTTTTGTGAAACGTCCCCCTGCTATTACCATGTCTTTATGAAATTGCAGATATTTCAGAATGCACAGAACCCTCTGGTGGAAGTTCAACAATATACATATATTGTATAATCAAATTGAAAATACAAATTGGTCTTCAGCTGAATGGAACACCAAGTCTTCTTGATATACATAGACAATTAAAAGTTTACATTTACATGTATTACCACCAGGATGATGGTGCTGAGCTTCAGCTTTTCTTTTCTTACAAACATTCTCGAACCATTCTCGATCAGTTCTGCCTTCGTCATCATCTTCAAGCAGAAATACATCCTCTTCCTTTATAGGGAAAGACAATCTGAGCACGTCCATCGTAGGACATTTCCCAAATTCCACAACAACATTAATCTGATCCCTAGCTGTCAAAAAGTTGTGTTGTATCTCCAGAGACCTCAAGCACTTGAATCTTGGTGCTAGAACAGCCAGTCGAGCAGCGACACCTTGAATTCGGCTCAGGTTGCAGTGTTCTAGATCAAGCTCTACCAAGTTGTTAGCTACATTCCTGATAAGTCTCTCCGCTGCTTCCCAGTTGCGCCCAAAGTCATAGTTATCTCTCAAGCGCAGATGCTGCAGGCCTCGGGTATGATGAGATCCAGAGAGATACTCAATGTCCTCTTTAGAAAGCATACAGCAGGTTGCATCAAGGAGGGACAATGACTGCTCCATGGGGCTAAGTATTTCTGCTAATTTCCGGGTTATACGATTTGCAGATAAATTGAGGTATCTGAGGTGGGGAAGACGACGGAGAGTAGACGCTAGCTCCTTGACTGCTGAGTCACCATGTTCATTCGTAAAGTTCAGGGTGTTATACCTAAGACACAATGTGGTGAGTGCTGGGAACTGTTGAATAAGGTCCAAGATCCTTTTGAGACCCTCATTTCTAAGGCTATTGTAGCTCAAATTAAGCTCTGTTGTTCTCTGTGAAACGTAAAAGAGAAACTGATTTTGTAAATGGGTATACAGTCAAACTTGTCTTAGTGGCCACCTCTCTAAAAAAAGCCACCTGTCTACAATGGCTTCCTTTTGCGTTTCCCTGGGGTGGTCTTAATAAACAGGTTTTACTGTGCATGTATAAGTATAGCTTTAAATGCATGACTGTAAATAGAACAATTAGGTACCGTATTTGCCGGCGATAAGGCCGCAGTGCGAGGAACTTCAAAGGAACTTCAAAGAAATTGTGTCTTCTAACTGGACAAATTTGTATATATCTTCATATTTTTGTAGTGATCATTTTCTGATGTGATATCGTGTTATTTTACTTCATCCCATGACAATTAAGATACGGACGAACCGTTACCACGGTATACCTGGAACTTCTTCATTTAAGTATAAACTTCCGAAAGGAATTACATGTGACAGCATATATTTTGCTCTGGAAGTTATTTTCAAGGCCCACGAATCAGTTCCTGAGGGGCTTGCCACTACAGACTTTTATTTAGGGGAACTAACTCAAATCTACCCCGAATTGAATGTCGAAATTTGCCGCCATTTTGTCCTTGTCAAGGAAACAGAACGTGGTAACCGCTCAAGTGTGTCACTATCAAACAACGAAGACAATCATGACAATAGCTCTATTGTCAGCGTTACGTCGTCTCACCATGGAATTTCAAGAGATGGGCGCTGCTTGATGTGTGACTTAAAATGTAACGTAAAAGAACGAATATGCATGAAATGTAAATGTGTGCATCAGAGAATCGACCAATTATCAAGTGACATGAAAGAAGTGAAGCATGCTATTGAAGCACTTCTTGATGTCCCGCGTCTAAAGGAAAAGTCAATCCCATCAAATCATCGCTCTCCAAACGTCACCACATCATCATCGATACGACCTCCACAATATTCGACATCGACATCGGTCCAACCCCCTCAAATCTCACAACCTTCGCCACCTGGCACTTCTAGCCGTCCTCTTCGTCATCCATCTACTCGGCCTATCCCTTCTCAACCACCACTGCAACCATGGCAACAAACCTATCGCCCTCCATTGGATAGCTTCCCACCAATTCGCTCCACACAGACAGCCTCTCTACAGCCACCGTTGCCATACCAACCAACGCCACCATTTCAGTACATCCAGTCACGTAATCGCACACACCCCCAGCCACTCCCACCAGAAGAAAAGGATAGCTTCCCATCAATTCGCTCCACCCAGCCAGTCCCTCTTCAGTCAACGCAACGTACATCGTTTCCATATCAACAGACGCCACCATTTCAATACACCCAGTCACGTGAACGCACACACCCCCAGTCACTCCCACCAAGACAACAATACAACATGCCAATGAACCATCGCTCGACTTATGCTTCAGTAGTCAGTGCACCAACATCACGTAATCTAAGTCGCGCATTTCAAGGATGTGAATTCTGTGGAGAACCGAACCACCGCGCTCATTTCTGCCGACATGGGGCTCCACTCCAGTGCCGCCAGTGTCTGCAGACTGGTCATAAACTAAGATATTGCCCCTACTACTAATATGGTGGCCAAGAAGAGAGCGCCTCTAATAAATGTCATATGTCAAACCAGGATACTAATGTCAATATTATACCAGATATTTCTTCCTTCAAGAAAAAGTCTACGAACCATTTTTCACAACAACTCAATCTTATAAATGGTAAAATCCCTAAACTATCGAAAGGAAGTCTATTTTTGCATTTGAATATCAGAGGTTTGGTAAATAAGATTGATTTAATACGATACCTTTTGTCTAATAATAATATTGATGTTCTTTGTTTTAACGAAACTTTTTGTGATTCTTCTATATCCGATAATGAAATATCGATCGACAATTTAAGAGTTGAACGTAAAGATAGAACACGCCACGGTGGAGGAATAGCTATTTATATATCAGATAAGATTTTTTATACCAGAAGATACGATTTGGAAAGTCTGGATTTAGAAATGATATGTATTCAAATTACTTTACCTTTTCAGAAAAGCATGTATTTTATTAGTATATACAGATCTCCGTCATGTGATGTTTCATTTTTTGAAAAACTTGAAGCAAGGTTGGAATCAATATGTTCTTCAGGTTCTTCAATAGATGAAATACTTGTTTTTGGAGATTTTAACTGTGATTTTAGTAAATTAAAAGATACACGTTTATTTCACAAACTAGATTATTTGACGAGTTCGTACAACTTTATTCAATTAATCGATATTTTTACGCGCGTTACGAAAAACTCCGCTTCCATTATTGATCTCGCTTTTACAACTCGTACTTCAAAAATTGTCGAACATGGATGTATAATGACTTCTCTTAGTGATCATTACATGGTGTATGTTATTCAAAATTTGAATTCAAGACAGAAAAAGTCTCTACCTAAAACTGTTTCCTTTCGCTCTTTAAAAGATTTTGACGATCAGGAATTTTATGATCTTTTAGAATCTGCATCTTTGTCAAATTTATGTGACATTGACGACGTTAATGTTTTCTGGAGAACCTGGAAATTAATTTTTACCTCTATTGTAAATAAAGTTGCACCAATAAAATCATTTCGTGTTAAAGATCAATCGCTTTCGTGGATAACGTCACATATTAGAACACTGATGAAGAAAAGAGATAATATTCATAGAAAATTATTGAAAGTAAAGAAAAAGATTTTATTGCAAAAAGATTCCCATTTAAATACAATGTGTGAAGAATTATGGTCAAAGTACACCAATCTAAGGAATGAGGTCAATATATCTATGTTTAAAAGTAAAACTGAATATTTAAAGAAAGAAATCAAGAAAAATGTAAACGATGTTTCAAAGATGTGGAAATGTTTAAAGTTATTATTACCAACAAAATCCTCATCATTTCCTTCCATTCTTTACGACAATGATATGGTGTTTAATAACGATGACGCTATTGCCAATGCATTTAATGATTATTTTATTCGAATAAATGCTAAGCTCGCGCAAGAGATGAATGTCATACAAGCCGACGAACATGATATTGGGGATGTTTTTAATTGCTATCCTTCCAATTATGTTTTTAACTTTGTTTCCACCAATGAAAGCTATGTTGAAAAATTGATTTCAAACTTGGATTCTAACAAAGCAACAGGGTCTGATGATATTAATATTATCTTCCTAAAAAAGTCTAAAGCTTTTATTGTACCAACCATTACTCAATTGGTTAATTTGTCTTTTTCAACAGGAGTCTTTCCCAATGATTGGAAGTATGCAAAGGTTTTTCCGTTTTTCCGTTATTCAAAAAAGGCGACATTAACAATATTGGTAATTTTCGTCCAATTTCCATCTTACCTGCAATAAGTAAACTCATTGAAAGGACTGTTCATCAGCAATTGTATGATTATTTAATAGAACATAATATCCTCAGTAAGACGCAGTTCGGGTTCCGGCCAGGTCATTCTACAGCCTCGGCTCTTGGGGCTTTAACAGACAGTTGGTTACACTGCATAGATAAAGGCCTCATTGTAGGGGCTCTTTTTATTGATTTAAGACGAGCTTTTGATACGGTTAATCCAGATATTTTGTTAAATAAGTTAAAGAAAATAGGTTTGAGTAAGTTATCATTAGCTTGGTTTGACTCGTATTTAAATAATAGAAAACAATATGTTGCTATAAATGATTCTAAATCAACTGATCGCTGTATTTCTGTTGGAGTTCCACAGGGATCTATTTTGGGCCCGCTCCTATTTTTGATTTATATAGATGATATGTCAGAAGTTTTGAAACATGGAAAAATTGTAATGTATGCCGACGACACGACACTTTTTGTAAGTGGACCCACCTTTTCGGATGTACAAATTAAATTGCAAAGTGATTTTAATGTTATATGTACATGGATAAAATGTAATAAACTCTATTTGAATGTTGATAAAACCAAATTTATGATCATCGGAAGTAAACAAAGATTAAACCATTTTAAAAATGACAGTATTACATTAAAATATGAAGATATATGTGTTGAACAATGTAAGATCTTTAAATGTCTAGGTATTATGATCGATGAAAACATATTATGGTCTGATCATGTAGATTATTTATGTAGAAAAGTGTTTGCCGGACTTGCCATGCTTAGAAGAGTTAAACCATATGTAGATGACATTTCATTGAAATTATTATACACATGTCTCATACAATCACAAAATGATTATTGTTGTGAAATTTGGGGAAACAGGTTTTTAAGTCATATAGATAAGATAACTAAACTAACTAAACAAAAGAGGGCTGCAAGAATGATTTTAAACTGTAATATGTATACCCCATCAAAGGAATTATTTACTCGCATGAATTGGATACCATTTCAAGAGAGGGTTAAATATTTTAGATGTATATTTGTTTTTAAATGTCTTAACGATTTATCTTCAGACTTTCACAAAGATGTTTTTCAAGAAGTATCAACTCAACATAATTTTTACACACGGCAATGTACTCGTCATGACCTGATTATTGATAAATGTCATACTGAATACCTTAAGAATGCAATAAGTTATGATGGTGCTTCTCTATGGAATAAATTACCTTCTAATATTAAGCAGATAAGTAATGTAAAGACCTTCAAATTGGCACTTAAGAAATATTTTTTCCACCTTGCTGTTGAATCAGGATAGGTTTTGAGGAACACCTTTTTTTAATTATTTTTTACTGCTAGTCTGCCTCTATTTTTCTTTAAGCTCTCTCTCTCGCTTCTTTTACTTAATCCTTTACTCTCTTAGCAAGTGATCTATTTATACTAGCATTCATCATAATTGACACTGATTAATATGTTTGATATTGTATATTTATTTTCAATATGTAATACTGTTCTATTAATGTATTCATACCTAATTGTTTGTTTTATCTTTTTAATTGTATATACATGTTTTACAGGGCCTCATGGAAGACCAACTTTTTGTTGAATGAGCTACCCTGGTGTAATATAAATAAATAAATGAAATAAAATAAATAAATAGGCCGCACCCCCGATTTTGACATTTAAAAAAAAAAAAAAAAAAAAAAAAAAAAAAAAAAAAATCATTTTTTTTTTGTTTTTTGGTTGTTGTTGTTGTTTTGTTGCCGAAAACCCACGCGGGGAAGGACCTTCATTTAACATCGAGGTGCAGTTAAAGGCGCTGATTTGTGCTTGTAAACTTGTCACAAATAATAGTAACAATGTCGTTTTTAGAAGAATGTGTAAGATCATTAATGTGAATTAAAAACAATAGAGTACTAGGTCCTAGGATAGAACCTTGTGGTACACCATTTGTTATATACAAAAAATTGAGGAATTATTATTATAAACTACATATTGAGATCTATTAGAAAGATTACTTTCAAACCAAGATGACAGACAAATTTTAGTGTTGTTGTAGTTTCCGAGTGGTGAGTCAACACACTGATTACTGAGCTGGGAGACATTGCCAGGCATAGCGCCATAAATCGTAACTAAAAAAAAAAAAAAAAAAAAAAAAAAATTTTACTCTTTCGCCGCATAGGCCGCACCCCGACTTTTTGATATTTTCTCTTCCAAAAATACTGCGGCCTATACGCCGGCAAATACGGTATACAAAACTTAGACCCAAATTTAGATCTCATAAGACGCCCTGAACAATACCAACTTAGGATTGGACCCATGACTTTTCATATGCAGTCAAGAGCCTCACTCGGTGTGTTACAAATATATTGAATATTCATATTAAAAATACATTAAAAATAGGTTAATGTTGTGCACATGCACGTTAGCTGTGAGTTGGTGAATGGAAGAGCAATTAAAGCACCAAGTTTGGATAAAACTTGGCTTATTTTCCCTGATGTTTAATACTTTTTAAATTTTCTTGTGTTAGTGAGGTGCTGGAGATGATCCTTAACTATTGTAGAAACATATATTTGTATAAAGTACACCGCAGTGCTCAGTTGCTCACAATAGTTGCTTTTCACAAAAAGGCAACACACTGGAATGACCGGATGCATTTTATTTGGTCAAACAAACAAAAAGGCACATGGGACCAGTAGATATGAGGTTACCAAACAATAAAAAAGCTGCAGATAAAGGTGTTGAAAAGGTATGAAATTTCACATACTAAGACACTCATGTCAGGTTATCTTAAGTTGAAACAAATTGTACATAGTTCCAGGTATAATACAAATGCACAAATCAGTATCCATGTGTGCTGTAATTCATTCATGATGAAAACTGGAATCATGAAAGGCAGAAATTTCATACCTGGTCTGTTCAGCTTTCTTGGCTGATGAATAATTCCAAGTTTGTATCAATATCTATGCAGAGTCTATCTCTTCCTAAATTGCCATTATGTAACAGCTCACCTCTTTTTCAATCAAATCCAAGACCCTCTCCACAAGATCTGTACCACACTGGTCTATCCTGAGCCGTTTGCTGCGGACGTGTATATTGGCAGATTGGAGCTGCTTACTTTTCTTGAAGAAGGCTTTGATCTCTTGTCCAGTAACCCTTGAATTCATCAGGATCCTCAGTTCTCGGTGCTCTGGCAGAAAAAGATTTTCAGTGCACCTTTTAGGTATATTCAAACAGACGTGGTCCATATATAACAAATGAAACACTTCCACAACAGGGTCCTAGCAAACAATAAACATGTCCAACACTGCAAAAATATTTCTTTTCTTTCTGGAGCTCAGTTAGGACTTGGTGTTGTGAAGGTGCACTTTACACAGTAATAAAAATCTTTAATTTTTCCTCTTTTATTTTGTACCAGAGCTCTTTTCCAGTTTACCAGAGCTATTTTTTGAGCTTTCAAGAGCTTAATTGCTCATGCTCTCTCTTTTTCCCTGCTGATATACAACATGGTTATATGGGGATTTAAATACATGCATTACCTTCAGAACGCCGGACCTCAACAACTCCCCAGCAATAGCTTACTGTTGCTAACAGGTCACTACCGTTAATCAAGCTACACAATGTATGAATGTATGCATGGGAGTGTGGGAATACATGCACCACATAGTACACACTGGTCAATATTTCAACCTTTTAAAATCAACCTTTTAAAATCACCCGTTTTTTTTCTTCAATATTCATGTCAGTTGAAATTTGTGACACCAATTATCCAATGATGACTGATACTATTTATACTCTACAGGCAGATCAATAAATGAGACATTTCAGAATAAATTCAGAAGACATTTCACAAGAAAACAATATGGAGAAATGGATCACCTTTAGATGCTACACTCCTGTGTTTCTTCACAATGTCTTTTGTCGCAGCTTGTCTACCTTTCAGTAGAGTATTCAAAAACAAGTTGTTTGTTCTGTCACCTAAAGAGAGACGAGAGAAAGGGTGAGAAAGGGAGGGTGAGAGAGAGAGAAAGAGAGAGGGATGGCGAGAGAGAAAGAGAGAGAGAGAGAGAGAGAGAGAGAACATGAAAGATATATGGGGGGAGAATGAATGTAGAGAGACCGGGAGATAGAGAGATAATTAATGATGTGTATGAAGATAAAATGCAAAGAAAATTTGTGCTATTTGTATGCATGAATGTACTCCAATGTAAGAAAATTGAATTACAAATATCCTTGTGTTGTTTGTGACATATGCAAACCTAATTCATAATTTGCTAAATGAGAGAGAATACATCAAACATTTTTCATCATTGCCACGACTCTCCTTAAAACAAATATAAAAGGAAAGTTAATATTCTGCCGATGGGATGGATATCCAAGCTTTGCACCCACCAACAGATTCTGCTTCAACTTTTGCAACTATCAAAGTTTTTATTAAATGCAATTTAGAGTTGCAATAGACTTTTAAAAATTCCATTTATAACCGCTTTTATCATGACCCATACGAGCAAAACTGTTATTTAACCCCTATACAAATTTAAGTTCGTCGCGAACTCGTATTATGCTCGTGGTAAGCTTAATATGATCGTTTTTTAGGCTTTAAGCTCGTAACACGCTTCCAAGACGCTAGTAACGATCTTACAAAATCTTCACGAGCTCGTGAACGAGTTCGTCACGAGCTCGTGGCGAACTCGCGGGTAAACTGGGCAGCTCGTGGCGAGCTCGTGGGTAAAAGGGGGAGCTCGTGGCGAGCTCGTGACGAGCTCGTTGGTAACAGGGGGAGCTCGTGGCGAGTTCGTGGGTAAAAGGGGGAGCTCGTGGCGAGCTCGTGGGTAAAAGGGGGAGTTCGTGACGAGCTCGTTGGTAAAATGGGGAGCTCGTGGCAAGCTCGGGTGTAAACTGGGGAGCTCGGGGGTAAACTGGGGAGCTCGTGGCAAGCTCGTGGGTAAAAGGGGGAGCTCGTGGCGAGCTCGTGGGTAAAGGGGGAGTTCGTGGCGAGCTCGGGTTAAACTGGGGAGCTCGTGGCGAACTCGAGGTTAAACTGGTAAACCCAGCCCTCTAGGGTGGACACCAAAGTTTCATAATTTTTTTTAAAATATCTATTTGATTCAAAATTGAACAATTCAATGAATTTTATATACACAATGTAAAGCCTTTCTTGTGAAAGATTAGAACGATTATAAATGAAGTTTTCTTAACAAAATTGTATTTTGTATTTTTCATATACGGTAATGCATGTTATGGGTGGACACCAAAGAATTTTTAGAATTTCAAACATATGCTGTTTTTTTAACTATAACATTTTAAGCTTCATCTTTTTTTAATTGATTTGATCCACGGAGTTCTTCCAAGAAATAAACTGGGAATTGTCAAAGTTGTTCATATAATGTGCATTCATCATGCAGAAGCACCAAATGGAACGCGTGTTGCATGGTGGACACCATGCATAACAACTGTTACAAGATGTGAAATATGGTGATTATGAAAAAACTTTGCCACGCAACCTAAGGTTATTTATGACATGAGCATAAATAGATTCAGCACTTACTACCAGACAATAATTGAACATCAGATAGTCATACAAATTTAGAGAATACTCATTACCAGGAACTAGGTTTTTTCATGTCACGTTTTGGTGTACGTCCTAAAAAGGGCAAAAATGGGTTTCACCTTACATAAAAATTTAAACCCAGGGTTTTGAAACACAACGTTATTTAAGTTATCTCCACTACATATCTGCATTAAGACATGTACAAAATTATCACCATAGAATATACTCTTTTATTTTTATACTTGGATCTGAAATATCCATGGTGAAATCTCTCCAGTATCATAAAAATACACATATGCAATTACATTGAAAGTTCAGAAAATTTATGTTGAAATTGAAACAATAGCTTTTTCATGCTGAAAACCTGTCAAATTTCTTGTAAATTTAATTAAATTCTTTTGAAACTTTGAAACATTTATTTGCAGCATACCAGATTGGGAAGGGGGGTGCCATTTATTCTGACTGTATCATATATTTAACACCCTGAAATGTCACTATCAGGTATTACATAAGACCACACACCCAGTGCTTGATTCGAGGTCAACTCCCTGTTTCTATCTTGCTCTCTCCTTATGTACATAGGATCCCCCCTGCTTAGACACAAATCCCTATTCCTCTCTTCTCCCCTCTCTCACTTTCTTGTGTACTCTCTCTTGTGGAATTACCACTGGTAGCATTCCTGATAAGAATGAATTGATTTAGGCCCATTTGGTCAAGTCTTTTTCTATCTTGCTGTTGTGGAGAGCAGACATGGGTTTTTGAATGGTATTGCAGCTCCTTTGTTTTAGGTAAGAGAAAAACTAATTTCTCACACCTTTTAACTAAATGTTCTATTGTGTATTTATAATAAGACTAGGCCAACAGTTAGGCCTACCTCTCTTATACATTTATGAAAGAGAAGTGTAGAGTAATGATTAATGAGATAATGTATTCATTCTCTTTCTAGTGAGATATCTTTTCATATATTGGGAATTTTGTTTATCTATCTAGCACATAGTATATTCACTTCAATAAAGTAACATTAGATATCTATGTGATAAGGTTATATTCATGTAAACATTTCTGTATCTTGAATGACAAACCCTACCTTTTAGGCAACATGAGAGCACAAGAATGCATTTGGTCTGAATACTGAAAACTAGTTTGCTAGCGGATATAAAGAAGGGATTGTTCTAGAGATCCTATAGTGTACATGTATCATTACTTGGTACCCTGGGTTGGTGAATACACTGACAAAAAGGGGGGATGCTACATAGTTATTGTATGAATACCGCTTTATTAGTTTGGATCTTTGTAATATTATGAGTGATTAGAATGATGGATAAATAATTACCAAAATGGATAATAATATTTCTTCAAAGGCAGAGTATTATACAGTGTAATTACTCACATATTTAATTTCATTATACAGTGTAATTATATAATTTGGAAATCATTTATTCATTCATATTGTTGTGTGAAGTTGTGAACCCTGCATACAGGTAACATATGCATTATACAGGGTTTGTATCGACTCTAATAAAGAGCTACTTGTTTTAAGTTACATTTTATGTTAAATCTTTTCTTTCTGTTCTTTGATATATTAGTGATTTAATTGATTGATATCCCAGAAGTAATGAGCTTTTAAATTGCCCTAAGAGTATCACTGTATTCTTCACCAGCTAGCCAACTGAATTGCCCTTGCATGGCCAGCCTGCAGATGTTACCAGGATATTGAAAGGCTGATAATTTAGATAAATATATATATATGCTTGCCAATAGCTCAACAGGATCATCAAGTTCACCTCTATATGTAGACACAAATTTGTTCTCAATGCCAACCTGCTGTTAAGCATGCCATTATAAAGCGTGCAGCCATTTTTTCCACGAGATTGTCGACGAACTCGCCGACGAGCTCGTCGACGAACTCATGACGAACTCGCCGACGAACTCGTTGACGAACTCGCCGACGAACTCGTTGACGAACTCGCCGACGAGCTCGCCAACAAGCTTATCGGCCAGTGACGAGCGTGTATATTTCGAGCACGCCAACGAGTTCGTAGCTAATTTGCATATTTGGAACGAAACGAGCTCGCTGGCGAGTTCGTCTGCTTGCTCGTCAACGAACTCGTTGACGAACTCGCCGACGAACTCGTTGACGAACTCGCCGACGAGCTCGCCAACAAGCTTATCGGCCAGTGACGAGCGTGTATATTTCGAGCACGCCAACGAGTTCGTAGCTAATTTGCATATTTGGAACGAAACGAGCTCGCTGGCGAGTTCGTCTGCTTGCTCGTCAACGAACTCGTTGGCGAGCACGCTGACGAGCTCGCGTGTAAGCGTACTGAAATTTGTATAGGGGAATGCTTACTGAGGTTGAGTGAGGTGATGTCAATGTCTTGAATTCTGCTCTCTTTCTGCTCTGATATAGCAATAGCTGCAGCTAGAGCAGGATGGTCATGCTGTTCATTAGGCCCTCGGATGCTGGGTAAACTGATTGAAATAAGAAAAAAAAAAAACTGTACAGTACTACAGTTAACATAACAATCTCTTGAACAGATTTGATTAAAGTACAGACACGTGGTCATCTTCTACATGTAGATTATCTGTTAATTAATGGAGTTTGGGTTTATCATCTATCATCATCATTTATTAAAGTCAGCATTTTCCCTCCTACGAGGGGTTACTGACTTTCACCCAATGACCCAATGATGACACTCCCTCCTTCCACTACTTGTCTCGACTATCAAGCATCCTCTTCATTTAGACCAACCATACTACTTTCTTTCTTCACTGTATCTTTCCATTTCTTATTTTATCTTTTTAAAATATTATATTTTCAATCACAAACCTTTTCTCATGTTATCATGGATGATACAGAAATAAAGTACACATGAAGCAGGAGAAAATGTGCAATGAAATAAGCAACTTTCTTTTGAAACCCAAAATTTGGAGCAGAATGTAATCGGATATGCTCTTGATACAAATTATTCAGCAGACGTACAGAGTATTAAAGTGAATTTAAATCCTCTTTACACCGATTTCAGTCTCTCTCTGTTTATTGAGTCCTTTGATTTGGGGCCATAGAGCTACTATCTCCATCCACTTGAATACAAATATGTTAGTTATTGTGGCCTGTTGAAAATTGACTAGAACTGGAACGGCATGCTCCTCAGTGAGTGGAAAATGTGCTCTGAAATCTAGCAAATTGGGTAATAATAATGGTAACTTATGCTCGGGTCAGTTAGTGGTTAGTGCAGATAACTTATTATCATCCTTATAACTGCCAAGTGGTGTGGGGGGGGGGATCATGTTTATTCATGCAATATGTAAAGTACATATCATCCACGTACTTTGAAAAATGTTGAAGGGTTGAAAAGTTGAGTGAAGCTAATGGCCAGGCCCCAACAATAGCTTTGGTAGAAACAGCCAAACCCCTTTCTAAACTCGCTGCCAATAAGACAGGATACAGATGATGTGGAATGACCTTGAGAGCATACAAGGTCAGGTTCAAGTTCCCGGTCACTTTCAGGGCAGCAGCATCAACAAGCGAAAGAAGATCATGAGCCATTCCTGAAAAGCCCTCCACTTTTAGCATGGACTGATTTTCACCAAGTGAGCGAGCTTTGAATAGACGACATGCCATGGTCCTAAAAATTTGCAAAATAATAATAATAATAATAATAAATATAAATTAAGACGGGAGCTGCTGCTACCTAGTTGTTTGGCGTTCAACAATAAGGGATAGAGCAACGTCGACCTGGCGCTGCTCAGTGGCTGCCGGGCTCACGATCAATTGGGCAAAAGATTTTCCATTTTCGGTTTAATAAAATTTGGAGTGGACTTTAAAAGGTTATTAATAGTATACAAATATACACTGTCTTGAGAAGTTCTGGTTAAAACTATGTGTAAGGGGTGACTCCAATAGTGCTATTTGCTGAGGGGCACAGCCTCAAAGCAAATGGTGATGATGATGATAGAAATGAACTTCTTAAATTAAGATTTGAAGAAGAAAAAAGGAAAAAAAATCTAAACCCTGTATTCCTGCAGGTGTTGTGTGGTTATCAACTTGATCATCCTCTCGTGGAAGATGCACTCTCCCTGGTATGGGTGCTGTTTCCAACAAGACCGTGGCAGGTCATTGCCACTGATTTGTTCCACTTGGATGGTAAGGAGTAGGCCTACTTACTAATTGCAGATGTACATTATAAGTACCCAATTGTCAAGAAAATCCTAGGACGATCAACAAGTGCCTGTGCCATTGACATACTGAAGGAAGTATTCTCCGAACACGGCACACCAGAGAAAGTTTTGAGTGACAATTAAATGGTCCTCAATACAGTAGCTCTCAGTTCAAATCCTTTGCTGACGAGTGGAGTTTTACTCATGTAACCTCAAGCCCGAGATACCCGCAGTCAAATGGATATATTGAACGTCAGGTACAAACCATGAAGATGACGATGACGAAAGCGAAGCGAGCCAGACAAGACGTCGACAAGGCTTTGCAGTACGTGAGGGCAACACCCATCGACTCTCAATATCTACCGTCACCAGCAGAACTACTACTGGGTAGAAAGATCCAGACGAATCTTCCAGTAAGGATCCGTGATCCTAATAGGGAAGCAGTGAAAGAACGCCTTCAAGAAAGATAAGATCAGCAGAAGTTCTACTATACTCCAGGAACACGCGTCCCCTCCCACCATTTCACCAAGGACAGCGGGTTCGCATAAAAAACCAGGAAAATGGACACTGGGACAAAGGAACAGTCCTAAAGAAGAGATCTGAACCAAAGTCCTATGAGGTGCAAACACCAAGTGGCCAAACTCTACGACGCACCCGTAGACACATTCGGAAAACAGGAGAAAAACCTGAAATCCATCATGACATAGAACAAGTCATTTAACAGAATGATCAAGACAACATGCCAACAGATGGAAGCACACACAGATCACAAAACAGCGCTAAACAAACTCAGAACACATATGTCACTAGATCAGGTCGACATGTTCGCAGACCTGTACATTTTCATCGTTATTTTGTCATTATAGACACTATGATAGAGTTAGAAATTGTTTAATGAATTTAAAGTTGTTGATGTTGAACAAGTTCAAAAATATTGTTATATTTTAAAATGCATGTACATATATAGCTTCAGATGAATGAAAAACAGGGATTTAATAATCGTTCAAATATAAAAGTTTTAAATCCCTTAATGGAATCTTGAAACGCTTTGAAAAAAAGGAGAAAATACCATACAAAATGAATACACCCTAAAAGATACCTAAAGAGATATTACTGATATGAAAATAGTGATCGAGAAAGTTATTGAGCTTTAATTGCTCCAAAGACATTTTCAAACAATTCTTCAAAAGTGAGATTTATGATTCACATTCGAAATCAGACTTTTGTAAATATAAACGGAATAAGAAACAGAATAAGTCTGTAAATTACCATTCATTTGTTTGTTAAAAGAAGGGGGATGTAATGAGATGAGTTATATGCTATAACTACATTCATATGCGCGCATGCATATCTCTTGTGTAAAAGAAACGCGGTTGAAATAGGTTGCACAATAAAGGACACGCCAAGGTCATGAACATTATATCTATTGTCTCCAGTTTTATCTTATTTAACTTCTTTGTGTAGGAACACAAAACAGCAGATGTGAGGAAGAGAAATAATGTCTGCATCTGAGCTTTGATAGGAAGATCGTAGAACAATTCAAAATCACTCTAGATCTAGGCCTATGCGCGTCTATGCAGTAGCAAGGATCCTGGTAATGGTATGCCGTAACCAATCAGGAGGAGAAGCGTCAGGCAGCACTTATTTTCTATTCTACGGCTCTTAACTCTTCTTCTTCTGATTAAGTCTGCCTCCTTCAATTGACTGAAGATTCTTGCAAACTATGTGCGTTTGTGTGTGAACCGCAATTTACGTCCATTCGAGTGCTATTTACATTATAATACAGGTTATTTACAAATATTTACAAGCTCATGTATAAGATGGAGGAAGACTAGCCACTTGCTGTCACCAACCGTCTGCAGTCGACTACGGAAGGCTCCAACAGATGGCGCTACACAAATTTCTGAGGGCAGGGAATTCCAACTCCTTACAATCCTCGGAAAGAATGAATGCCGATGCGATTCAGTTCTTGAGTTTGGCATCTGATAGGAATGTGGTGGGGTGGCTCTCGTCAACTGGGTGACTTGTATGATATAGTCCTGAGCCGGAAGAAGAGCGAGATCGTTGTGTATATTATACATCATAGTTAGTCTGTCATTTTCTCTGCGCTATTGTAGACTGGTCCAATCAAGTTCTTTCAGCATACTGCTGACACTTGATGTATTATGTATAAACGATTCAGAGTGAATCTTGCAGCTCTTCTTTGCACCATTTCAACTTTTTAAATGAGGTTTGGGTAAGCTGGGTCCCAGACAGAGGAAGCATACTCGACGATCGGTCAAACCAACAGTTTGTATGCAGTGGGTTTGAGGTCAGAAGATTTAATGCGTAGATTGCGTCTTAGAAAGGCGAGGACGTTATTGGCTTTGTTGACAGTATATTGATATGTTTGGTCCACTTGAGATTAGAAGTGATGGTAACACCCAAGTACTTCGCAGAGTCAACGGTTTCAAGGGGGGGGGGGGGTGTGTTCTTCAGATGATACACATGTGTGTTGTGCCTTGCTTCTTTTCCTGGAGACTGTGAGTACCTTGCATTTGTCCGTGTTCAAAACGATCATCCATTTTTCAGCCCGGTCTCTAATCCTGTTGAGGTCTTGTTGAAGATTGTGTGCATAATGTTGGTTGTCGATGGTCATGTAGGAAATAGCATCATCGGCAAATAGGCGAACTTTGGATGCTAGACCATTTGGCAAGTCATTTATGTAGAATAGAAAGAGACAAGGTCCAAGAACCGACCCTTGAGGCACTCCAGATTCCACTGCTATTGATGATGAGTTCTTGCCATCCAAAAGGACTCTTTGACTTCTTCCATGGAGAAAGCTTTGGATCCATCCAAGATTCTTCCCTCTGACACCATAGAACTGCAATTTGTGCAAGAGCCGTTGATGCCCAACCTTGTTGAATGCTTTCGAAAAATCCATGATTATGGCATCCGTTTGACGTCCTTCGTCCAAGTTCTTGTGCAGATCACTTGTGAATCCTAATAACTGTTGTTCATATGACATGTTCTTGCAAAAGCCATATTGAAGGGGGAAGATGATGCTATTTCTGTCCCCATGCTTTTGCTGGCTAGAACATGTTCCATTAGTTTGCAGCAAATGCATGTTAGTGAGATGGGACGATAGTTTATTGGAGTTGATCTATTACGTTTCTTGTAGATTGGTATATCATTCGCCTCACGCCAGTCCTCTGGTATTACACTCGTTTCATAGGACAAGCGGAATATATCACAAAGAATAGGAGCCAGAGTTGTTGCCAATTGCTTCAAGACTTGTTTAGTTATACCGTCCGGTCCAGTAGCTTTGTGTATCTACAAGCCAAAGAGCAAATTTTCTACACCCTTTGGTGTGAGCACAATATCCTCTCTTCCTTGAAATGATGAGGTCGCGGTAGTTGTCTGGGATGGGTTTTTCCTTGGTGAATGCACTTTGGAACCGTTGGTTCAGTGCTTCAGCTATTGCTATCGTATCAGTGACTGTAGTACCATTAGTTTTCAGTTCTGCTATTCCTGTG